ATGATGATGATGATGATTGTGAAGGAGGGGAAGAAGCAGGAGGAAGAAAGGGAGTAGGAGAACATGGAAAAGAACCGCGATATGTGTCAGCCGGCAGTTAAAAAAACAACAACTGTTGAACCCATTATTGAAGAAACTTGCCTTGTTGTGAAGGGCAAGTTTTGGTGTACAATAACACTGTGCGCCGGTCTTAGCTTGTTTATCCCTTAATTTATGAGTCAAATTTGACACAACAAAGGAGGGATCAATTCGTATTTTGCAGTAAAACTGTCATTAACAGACCTGACTCGATCTGATCCGATCCGATCTTCTCCGCTAATGGGCACCTGTTGCTGTAATGTCGCGCAATAATGTTGTTAATTATCGTCGTGTTTTTGTGACCCCGATTGCTCGGAGACACGCCCATTCCACGCCGCTGGCTATGACGTGATCACAATGTTTGGCGTTGTGGCGAATTGCGGAATTTTGTTCTCGGGGTAGAATGGTAGTGTGTGAGTCTCAAAAGTGTCATGTTCACTTGCGTTGCACTGTTTATTTAATTTCAGTGCGAGTATTACGGCACTTGAAACCCCAATAGGTCATAATATATTAATAACGATAATTTAGGAGGCGGGCTTTCGACCTTGTCTGCCAGCTAGGCCTACCCAGACTAAGAGGGATACACACCCCTGCAGAAAGACCGAGGTACTCGATAAACCCCAGCAGAAAGAGCGAGATACTCGATTAAAATGTTCTCCCCACTCGGGAATCGAACTCGGGTCTCTTAATGCGCGTGACAGCGAAACATCTAACCGCTTTCCACTGTCGCCAATCGGTGTGCTTGGTCTAGGATAAGATACATCATTAATTAATTCAAGTCTGTGCACTTTGTGAAGCGGCTGCACTGGTCTATCGATCGGCGTCGAAGTACAGTACTGTTTTCTCTTCACATTACCCTGTGTCGTTTCGCTCCACGGTTGGGGAAATCGCTGCGTGTGCACTTTTACTTTTAACAATTGGATTTCTTTTTTCGTTATTCCCCATGCGTCATCCAGTGTGTGTGTGTGTGTGTGTGTGTGTGAAGGTTGGACATGTGCCACAACATTGCCTTAGGTGTGTTGCTGGTCTGGATAAACGTGTCGGCCA